AGGCTGTAGAGCTGTCTTGGGAAGCGCGTTTCCTGCCCGCTGTGCGGTGGCCGGGACCAGGCAGTGAGACGCCCCGTGGGGCAGGATGGTGGCCCTGCCCCCAGCTAGCTCACGGGAACGGGGAGCAAACGGTGACGTGTCCAAGACTTGCCCTGGCTTACAGCCATTGCCGTGATCTGCCGCCCCTCGACTGAGGCGTCATGAGCAGCTACTTATTCGCTGCTTGATTTACACCCCCTTTCGCAAACACGTGTAAGAAACAACAACAGTGCTAGTGCTAGTCACTGAGCACCAATAATAGTGACACCTGGAGGAGCGCTTTGCATCTCCAGGCAGCACCCAAAGGAGGGGAAAAAAACCCTGTCTTCTCAAACAAGCATTTAATCTGAAATACGGACCGCAACAGCTAATGGGACAAAGCACAGCTTGGTCTAGGGTTGGGGCTTAACCAGTGTGGGCCCTGAGCACCCTATACCCCAATCACCAGGGAAACTCCCCACCTCCGCCTGTTCTTAATGGAGTGTAGAGCCATTGTCCAATCAGAAACCAGAGCAAATGCTCTGGGGTCTGGATGGCAGCATAATTCCCTTTTCCTCTCTGTATGGGGAGCAGTTGTGCCCCCTCAGAGTGGGAAGGCATGCCAGAGGTAGTGCATGAAGGTGGGGTCAATCCTCATGTTTCAGCAGTGTCTCCAGCACCACAATGAAGGGACTCAGCCTTCTCATACTGCTGTAGCCGGGTGATCCCATTTCAGGATCCATACTCCCAGCTGAGGTCTAACTGAGCATCTGCAGGGTGCTGCCTGGGGGAATATCAGCTAGATCCAGCATGGCATCTGCTTGTAGGCTCTTCTGGTTGGTGTCAGGGTCCCTCCGCTGCTTCTTCACCACCTCAAAAGAGTCAGTGATAAGCCATTTCCTGCCCATGGCTCCCTGTGTGTGGGTTCCCGGAGGGAGCAGCCACTGAGAAGACAGTTGTTAGTGGGCAGATGCATTCTGTTTTCCTGCCCTTGCAATTCAGTGGCTGATACCACCTGTTTGAATAGTAATTATTGGGAAGATGGATGACCTTGCCTTGCAAAAATCAGTTTCGCATTAGTGAAGATTTAGCATCCCAATTTAAAGATGCACCTGTTTGCGTACGCTCTCAACTGAGTTCTTATGACAACAGACCAGAAAAGTCTTATGCAGTTGCTAGGGGCAATAAAAATATGTTTAGGATAACTGAAATCCAGTTATTTTCTGACTGTTTCTGAGACAGTGGTTAAAAGCAAAAGTGCACTTACTGATTAGCTCATCTGATGAGGGAGAAAATTAAAACTAGTCTTCTGAATTTTAAGTTGCTGAAGGAAAAAGGACAAACTTGCCCACCCAATCCTATTTTGCAAAATGTTTCTTTTGTGTCTCTTCAGCAGCTTATTGAAGAAAGTGCACAAAGACTGGAGATATATGCACACACATACTCCCTTCAGAATAATAGTGATTTATTTTGAGCCAGATAAGCGATTCTGATTTTTAGCCTCAATTCAATGTGCTACTAGTGTCAGCGTTACCATGATTAAGAACATGATCAATACCTTATTTGTTTGAGCAGTCTAAAGATTTATAAGCATTTTGACATCATATTTTCCCAACTTGAATATTCTATATCAGAATCAACAGATTGGAGATTAGGAGTTTAAGAAAATATATCTCCTATGCTTTCTAAGGCTTGGGTCTGACAGCCAGACATGTCTGTCTTCCCAGATGTTTTTGATCGTGAAGGCAATCTGTACACTGTTTTTGTAAGGAGACAGATGGATTTGAATTTTTTTCCTTTTTATGTATACCTGTGATTGTTTTCAAAAACAAAATGGTAATATTTAATTGTTTAGCAAGATCAGTTACTACAATTAATGTGGAAAAGACTCTTGTATGCTGGAGTGAAAGTTTTGAATTCTGTCTTTTCACTACATGCTATTCTGTAGTTACAAGGGCATTTGTTTTTACTATGAAAATGTTAAGCCTCTACGAATATTTAGTCTTTATGTTCAGTACCAACAAAAGTCTACCGAGGATTGTGCTTAAATGCGAGTATGTATTCTGTGACATGACAGTAGTAGTGCTGGAAGCAAAGAACAAAGAATGTCAACTGGAAATTTTCTTTGTACAGGAAATGGGATTTTATGGTCTTTTGCTATTTTGAGCTTTGTAATACTTTCCCAAACATTAGGGGTGTAGTGTAGATCAGTGTAGCGATGTGAACAGCTAGTCAACTATCTGATAAGCAAATGCTTATCTGATAGACTAGTCACTCCCCTTCCTCCCCCCGCACTTGCTGCCTCCATCGGAAAGAGGCCGGGAGGGGACATGCTTCAAAGAAGCAGCGTCATGTGGAGGTTGGGGGTCTGCTGCTGTGAAATGCTGCATGAAGCCTAGGGCTAGCTGGGGACTCCTCAGCTGACCCCAGGCTCCATGTGACACTGCCACTTTGAAATGCCACTGGGAGCATGGGACAGCGGATGACTGCTTTGAGTATACTTCCAAGGCAGAAGCACTGTTATCGACTAATCGAATAGTTGATGCAAATTGCATTGACTATTCAATTAGCCAGTTAATCTAAATAACATCCCTACGAGCTGTCCAGGAGCAGCATTGGCTGGCTGACTTTATTCTGGACTGTACTGAAAAATATATTAAACAATGGCATCACTACTCTAGTTGCAGTCTGTTCATTGTGTTCATTTTTTTGTGTGATTATATTTTTGTCTATTGAGAGGTTTCTAATTCTCTTGAGTCTGATATGCAGTTAACTTTTTTGAAAGGGTGTATCAGCATCAGCTTTATATTCTTTCAGCCATTCCTACCCTCCTGTTTGTGTGTGATTATTTCATTATTTTTAGTTGCAATGTTAAAATCGAGTTGGAAACAAGGCTACGACCAAAGATCAAAGGTAGTTAAAAATAGATGTCTTGTATTTGTAATATGTAGATATAATAGAATGGAGCATGTTGGAAAGGGAATTGTGGCTTGTGTTGTTTGTTAAATGTGGTGGAAGGGAATTAACTGATAAATAGGCAGATTAGGAAAGACTTTTCAGAAAGACTTGTTAAAGAATTCTGGCAATGCTCAATCTCTGCATTGTGGGAGTTTGTTTCCCTAGGTTGACTTTCATCTAGGAGAATACCCGCCAGATCAGCTAACTTTGCCAAGCAGGCTGCCTCCATGCTTCTTCTGTTCCAGCCATGCTCAATGTGTTTTATGATCAGTGAACGTTGGTTTACTTTAATTTAGCTTTTATAGCACTCACTTTGTCTTGTTCTTTCAGATTACAGCAAAAGCAGCTGTCATTTTTGTTACCCTTCAGTACAATGTTACCATTTCTACTACAGGTATGTGCTTTTGAGTAATTACATGCTAGTCCCATGGTGTAGACAGAATTTTCATAAATTGTTGGTAGGCTGTACTGTCCTAAAACTGAGTACAGTAAAACTCCATTAGTCGGCAGCCAATGCTCCGGGACTCCTGATGGTCCGGCACCATCAGGAACCCGGAAGTGCTGGGGCAGCCGGACAGGCTTCCCCCATTCAGATGCTGCTGAAACTGACCAGCAGCTAAATCGGGAAAGCCGGGAGCAGAGCAGCTGGGATGCTGCCGGGTTGGTCTCGTAGCGCTGCCCCTCAGGGCTGCAGGACCAACCCAGCAGCACCCCAGGTATCCCCGATTCAGCCGCTGTTTAAACTGATCAGTGGCTGACTCCAGGAAACCCGGGGCAGAGCAACTCTGCCTCGGGCTTCCTGGAGTCAGCCGCTGGTCAGTTTCAGCAGTGGCTGAATCGGGGACAGCTGGGGTGCTGCCGGCTGGGGGCCCCCACCCCGAGGGGCAGCGCTACTGGACCTACCCAGCAGCACTCCAGCTGCTCTGCCCCCTGCTTCCCGGATTCAGCACTGGTCAGTTTTAGCAGCAGCTGAATCGGGGAAGCTGGGGGCAGGGGAGCGCGCAAGGGGCC